CATATTTCCCTGCCTCTCTTCATTAAAGCATATCTCCACCCAAACTCATGGAGAACGTAGGCTGCAGAGGAAGGAATTCGAGCATCAGAACAAACATCAGAAGCCACACACATCCCATGTGGCAGAGGGGGCTGAGGACAGAAGGACCCTCCTCCGCAGCCCATTGCTGTGATGGCAGTAACTCTCCCGGATGGGGACACCAGCTGTTCTGGTTCTCAGCACTGGTTTCATGCCCTCTGTTTCCCCACCTTGTACACACACAAGGGAAGAGGTGAAGTGAATCAGATTTGAGTGAAGCTGACCAGTGAATCACGGCATGTGTCACAACTAATAGTGATTCAGTAGTCATGAAGCCTGGTTCCAAAGAATCAGAGGCAACCCAAGATTCTCCTAAGTCAAGAATTTCTTAATTTATAATCTCGAATCTCCTTTTAGGAGGGAAAAATAATGATACAAATGTACTTCCCACCCATCCTCCCTTGGGCTTTTTGGAATCCTAGAAGAGGGCTCAAAATGATTGTGTTCCCTCCAAAATTGTATTATATTTAAAAGGAAAAAATATCACCACAGCATTTGAAAGAATCACATCATGCATTTTAATTCAAATGTCAGCTACATGGATATTCCCAAATTGCCCAGCCTGCTGGGGTCATGCTAGCCTTTGAGATTTTTTTTTTGTTTTGAACCCTCATCTAACATATTTTGGGGGGACATGGTGTTCTTCTCTGTATCCTGGGGGTGTTCTTTGACTCAGATTTTCCACAGTCACCTCTGATCTGAATTCCTGCTTTTGCTGAATTCTATGGCTCTTCTCTGTTTTGCCTTCCGTGTATACCACCCCTTTTCTGCTCTGGGTGACCCCATTGGGCGTCACCCCAATTACTTTCTTCCCCAGAGCGCTTCTGGCCCAAGACTTGGGAGGACCTCCTGAAGGTTTGAAGCCATGGAGGGAATGAGAGACTTCACAGCTCAGCAAATAACTTAAAATGGAATTTTAGACTGTTCTTCAAAACACTTTGGGTGTTCCCACGATGGGGAAGTTCTTGAAGGAGAACCCACTTCTATTTCTGCGTTGATCTTAATCTCTCTTATCTGATTTGCTCCCTTCTCTCCCAACTCCCAAATTCCCATTTATCAGTCCACGTACTTTGGTCCGGTTTGCCCTCTTCCCAGTCCACTCCTGCTATGGCCAGGGGGCTTCATCCTCAAGACCTGACTCTCTCTCTCTTCCTGGGGGGAGTTCTGCTTTCATCTTCAAAAATGCTGCATTCTGTTTCCTACTACCCATGTAGAAACAATAAAGCTCTACCAGCGAAGGAGTGAGGCCTCTGAAGGGCAGTGCCTGGGCGTCCCGGGGGAAAGGCAGTGGGGGCTAAGATTCCGCCCAGCTCCCTTGCGTTTGACTGAGCTTCTGAGACTCTCAGGGTCATCAGTCATGGTCTTCAGAAGACAGCACATTCTGCAGTTGTGTTTTTATATCTTAGATCCAAGAAGCCAGTTGCCTTCTGTGCTCAGATGTTTCCTTGAAGCCTCAGCTTGATCCATGTATCAAATTATGTCTGGTCCCTGGCATGAGTTTCAAGTAGAATCTCCAGGCAAAACAAGAAGCCAGCACTGGCCAGAATTTCCTTTGGATTCACCATGTGAGTGGGGGGTCCCATCACAGACCAGATCCCAAGCTTGTGTCCCTGCTGGGCTGGGTGGAGAGCAGGACAGGGCAATGGAGCAGGAGAAATGGAGTCATCCTTGCTCCTGCAGACTTGGACACCAGTTTCAGAAACAGGTCCGCTTTATTTACAAGTTAAAGTAAAACTGTACATGTCCAATCTGGCTAGAGATATATTTCTTTGGGGGAAAGCTTAGAGAAATGTTTTTTTTTTTTCAACTTCTGCCACAATTGGGTCACCTGAAATATAGGGAATATGTCTGTGGCTGAATTTATAAGTTAATAGAGATACATACTAGGGACTCCTCTTTGTCCTCCTTGAAGATATGATGTGTTTACAACCAGAATTAAAAGGTAGATTTCATACAAACCAGTGAATCTGGCAGGAAGAGTTACCACTTGACTTTCTCATGTATTCATGCATGTAGCTACATTTCATTGGTTGAACTCCTGCTATTTGCTATGTGCTGGGCAGGGCAATAGGGATATGAGAATGGAGAAACCAAACCATGACAGGGAATCCACTCTCCCCACCCACGTCGGGAGTGGCTCTGGGAGGAGTAGAAAGGCGGCAGACACAGAAACAGATCATGATAACATTCTATCAAAGAACTTAAGAGCAAGACTTGGAATCAGACCATGGGCAATCAAACTCTACTTCTAGTACTTATTGGCTGTATGACCTTGGCCAAGTCACTTAACCATGCTTTACTTCATCTTCATCATTAAAGGGGAATGATCATAATATCCACCTCATAGGGTCATCAGGAAGACAATGAAATGACATAGCATTCATGGGCATATTAAGTACTCAGATGTTAGATATCATGACAGCATGTGAGTCATATGATGAGATGCACAAGACATTATACGAGAGTGCAGAGAAGGGGTGGTATCTAAGTCAGCCTGGAGGAATCAGCGAAGACATTTAGAGACCCTAACTTTAAACTTGATGGCTGTTCAAGTAGTGCATTCAGTTCACTAAGCATTTGTGGGAAAAGTGGACACACTTGAGTTTTATCCTAGGATTCTGATCCTGAGTAATCAACAAATTTCAACTCATTTATTCCAATGATTGGAGTCAAGGCTAATGTTTTGGAGAAGAAAAAGCAATGTTCTTGGTGCTGGTGGCTGTAAAAAAATCATTATCGGTGCTTCTCCCCTTCATTATATCCCAACGGATGGCCCCCAAAGGCCCCTTTCATGACAGATTTCACGGTTGCCATCAGGCAGATAAACTCTGAGCCTTTAAGGCCACAAAGCGTCTCTCCTGCTCATGGAAAAGCAGTGTGAAACAACTTCCTGTCCTGTGCATCGTTGTAGAAGCTTTCCCCAAAAAGTTTCCAAGACAAACAGAAGTTTAACTTCCTGATCTTCTTGAATACTCCAGTGAATTATTATCAAGTGGAAATGCATGTAATTAAGGTGGGCGGAAGGCGGGAATTGAATTATGATAAAACTCATGCCTGCTGATGTGTTTGATGACAGAGAAGAAAATCATAAAGGGAAAGATGATGAATTTCTGTCTTTTCTCTGGGAATAACTGACTTAGAATCAATGTAATGAAAAATTATCAGGTGAACACAGAATGGCACAGGGGAAGGATAAGTTTCGGATAAGTTTCTGATGGAAATATATTAGCTCACAGCAGAGCCACACTTTCCATTTTGATCTCTTGGGTCAAATTCCACCAAAAATGTATTTTTTGGAGAACAACTATGATCATGTCATTTTCCAGGGACTTTCCCTCATCTTCTACAGAATAAAGTTCCAAGTCCTGAGCATGGCATTCAAGGACTGTTACAACAGACCCAAATCTCCCTCACTAACCTTACTTCCTACTTTACCTAACGTACATACATGCACACACACACATAGAACAAGCACCCTAGTACACTCCAGATCAAATATATTAGTCAACCTTTCTCAAATATGCCGTATTCAGGTACCTTGCTCATGTCAGAATGCCCTTCCACCTATCTCCAATGATCAGATTCCAACCCCACCTAAGATCCAGTTCAAATATCCTTTCTTTCGTCAGGTCTTTTCCCAGAGCTAGAATTAATCTCTCTCCTTTCACTTACATGGATTTTCTCTAGATGGTGAGTAATAATATTTGTATTACTTAGGAAAGCTTTATACTACTTATTTTTTTAAATTTTTTATTGATGGATTTTCTTCCTTATTATCTTGTTAAATCTTTGAGGGCAGGAGCCATGTCTTATTCATTTTTATAATTTTCACAGTGCCTGGTATAGTGCATTGCATGATATTGGCTTTGAAAATAATTCCCTCTTTTTGCTTTGGCTGTCAGGAAGCTCAGAACTAAGTTATCAGATATTAGCATTGTCCAGGAGGCAGACCAGGGAGATAAAAAGAAAAAAATAGATCAGATAAAGATAATACAGTTGACTTGAACAACACAGGTTTGAACTGTATGATTTCCACTTATAGCCAGATTTTTTAATATATATATATATAAATACAGTATAGTCAATAAATTTTCTCTTATGATTTTTTTTAAGTTAATGGTCTTTTTTTATTGGAATTTAAAAAAAAGACTAGGATTTACAACTTGGAAAGGACATAAATTGTAATTTCTTGATCAGCAATGTTGATGCTTGTGCTGAAGTCCACAGCCACAACCTACTCTGCTGGCTCCAAGTCATGGTTCAGGAGGTTTTAAAAACAGAGAGTCCCAAGATGCTCCCTTGGTGAAGGTTTCTTTAAAAAAAAAAAAATTGTGTGAATGGTGACAGCCTGACACCCATTTCGCTCTAGGACAACACGGGACAAAACTAAACCAACACACGTGGCATGGCACCGGGATGAGTGTCATGGTCACCACGGGTGGGGGTGCCCGGAAGTACGAGAGGGCCGTCCTAAGTGGGGCTACGTCTAGACAGTTTATCCTTCACCCAATTTTCTGCACAGCACCCTGAGGTAAACCAATTTTAAATGTTTTGTTTTCAGTAAACCGGCTATGACAATTTATACTAACAAATTGAACTAGAACCCATTTGAAGAAGTTTTAAATTTTTTTTCATTTTTTGTTTTTAATACAAATGCCTGACTGTGCTCAGTTGTCAAGCTGCATGCATGAAAAACTGGCCAGCCCAAACAGTGTATTAATCATGAGCAAACGGAACTGCAAGGAGTCCATTAGGTGCTTCCTTATCATTAAGGTAGTACAAGTATTTATATTGTAAAACTGATGTGTAGCTTGATCTTTAGGGGACAGGACCACCAACCAATACATGCAGATTTTGTGTGTGGACAGAAGGTACTTTTGACATTCAGTTTTGCTATATAGAAACGGAATGAGTAAATGAACTTTTTTTTTTGCAAGAGGTAAGTAAAAGATTCAATTTGATTCTTCTAGAAGGGGGGAAAGGAGTTGAAAGTAGGCCTTCATTTTGCAGTCATCATCTACGAATTCTTCATAGTTGATTTGCCCATCTCCATCAATATCTGCTTCTCTGATCATTTCATCTACTTCTTCATCTGTTAGTTTTTCTCCTAAGTTGGTCACGACATGATGTAGCTCCGCCGCGCTGATGTAACCGTTGCCATCCTTGTCAAAGACTCGGAATGCCTCGCGAATTTCTTCTTCACTGTCTGTATCTTTCATTTTTCTAGCCATCATAGTAAAAAATTCTGGGAAGTCAATGGTGCCATTTCCATCAGCATTCACCTCATTGATCAATATCCTGCAACTCGGCTTCTGTTGGGTTCTGACCCAGTGACCTCATGATAGTTCCAAGTTCCTTTATTGTGATGGTTCCATCGCCATCTTTGTCAAATAGGGAGAAAGCTTCCTTGAACTCAGCAATCTGTTCTTCGGTCAGCTAATCAGCGCCTTCACTGCTGCACTGGGTGGGGGGCTGCAGGGGTGCAAAACAGGGGGACATGAGACCCGGCCACACCGCAGGGCCCGCCCAGGCACAGGGCGGCCTCCCTTCCTTATGATTTTAACATTTTCTTTTCTCTAGCTTATTTTATTGTAAGAATACATTCTATAATAGATATAATGCACAAAATACATGTTAATCAACTTTTTATGTTATTGGTAAGGCTTCCGGTCAATAGTAGGCTATTAGTAGTTAAATTCTGGGGGGAGGCAAAAGCTATATGTAGATTTTTGACTGCAGGGAAGTGGGTACCCCTAACCTTTGTGTTGCTCAAGGGTCAGCTGTAATAATATCTCTATTGAGATTTTCAGCCCTTCAGAATTACTTTACATTTGATCTTCCCAGAAAGTCAGTGAAGAATGTATGAGACAGGAATCTTTATGAACCTTCATTTCATCCATTTAACATGGATTGAAGCAGATTGAGGCTCACAGAGATTGTCACACAGTTAGAAGCAGAGCTAGGTTTAGCTCTTTGAAGATCTTTCTTAAATCTTATTCTAAGTACCAATCTACAAAGGGTGAAGTGTGGCCAATGAAAAGCCATCACAGGGTGCGCAGGCTTGGAGTGGTGGGCTTTGGGGCAGGAGGGGCTGTTCACTGTAATGCTGTTGCAAGTTCTTGCTTCTTCCATTTCCTCCCCACCCAACTTCCAACCTGTGTTAGAGAACAGATTGCTCCTTGGCTGTGGTTCAAAGAGCAATCATTGAGGGTAGATCAGTTAGGATACTTTTGGTTGCAGGTGACCGAAAATCCAACTCAAAGTGGACAAAAGAGAAGGTTGTTGATGGGCTCCTATAACTAGAAGTCTAGGAATCAGCTGGGCTTCACGATATGCTTCATCCAGTGCCATCTACCTCCTGTTACTCTCTTGACTACTCTCAGTAGCCCCCACCTTCTTCCTGTGTTGGTCTCATCTCCCACCACTAGCAAAGGATGTTAGCGATCTTCCTGGGACTTAGGACAAGAAAACTCCCAGAAACCCACAACAAGCCTTCTCTGCATTCCATTGGCTCGAAATGGGTCAGATAATCATTCCTGAACCAATCACTGGAGAGGATGGAGTTAGCTTCAGCCAGTCAGGCCCAGCTAGGAGTGGGGTCAGTTTCTCCTGAGTCACAGGGGTGGTAGTGGGGAGCAGGGGATAGGTAGAAGATGGGAAGAAGTATTACCTGATCAAAATGGGAATACTGAAGTTCTGTCAGTGCTTTCTTCTAAAGAAACACACCCTCTCCTTTCTGCTCTCTCGTTGGGCTATGCCTGAGACCCTTTCTCTAGCTACAGCCCTTCTTAGTTGATTTATTTTCTTTCCTTTCCTCCTTCCCTCTCTTTCATTCTTCCTTTCTTCCTTTCATTCATTCATCAAATATCCTTTGCACCATGTCCTATGCAGACACTGAGGTGCTTAGATGGTCGGGACACCACTGTCCTTCACCCGGGGGCTCCCTTCTGACATATGGAGCCAGTGTCCTGCAGGCTCAGTGAGCAGCCCCCTCAGGTGTCCTGGAGAGGTCATGAGCAGACGGAACACGGGTGGTCCTGAGAGTAATGGCGCTAATCAGGAAGTTTGTTTCATTTAAAGGACAGAGCAGCGAGGCAAGGAAGAGTGATTTTTGTCAACCCAGAACCGAAATATCACATTAAAATGCCTCCTAGCACCGAGAGGTTTGTCCATTAAATTTAATTAAGTTTTCTTTAGATTTGCATGTCTCCAGAGACCTATTACTCCCAGGCGACAGAGCATTTGCTTTTACCAGTCTTTGCATTATTCTTTCTGCCCAGAAAACCCCTGTGCCTCTATTGTCTACCAGAATGTTCAAACTTAGCGGCCAAATACAGGCGTGGGAATCGTGGAAATTCTTCCTACACGGTCCTCTGGCAGTTTCTGGCTTCAGTAGCCTCTTTAGCAAGAGCTCTGAGATCCAGGTGCTTTGTTTTCCCTCTTAAATGGGAGTGCCTTTAACAGAGGTTTATGTTGTGTCGAGGGTAGCCTCTCTGCGTCTTGGAGATTCTTGTATCTCTCAAGCAGCTCAGACATTCTGGAAGCTGAGATTCCTTCAAAGGGACCAGCTGGGAGAGGCATGTGCCCAAGCCAGACTCCGAGTGGGTGTGAATTCCTCAGTTCCAAAAAAGAGCAATTCTGTCTGATCTGCTGTCCGGGCCAACGCTTACCCTGGCAACTTCCTTGGTAGTGGAACCCTGGCAGGCGGCAGGGGAAACATTTCAGTGTTTTCCAGCCCTGGAGACCTGCTCCATCCTTCTCCCCTTGGAGGAACATGCCACTCAGAGCTGCCACATTAATGCTGCTACTGAAAGCAGCAGGTGACACTCCAGCTGACAGCCTGACACACACGTGCACACCCCTCTCTCATCCCCCACATCCAGGCGCAGGAAGTTGAAAGGAGTGCGTGCTCCAGCTTACAACCGCCCTTTCCCCAAGGGTATTTTTAGAATGTTAACAGGTACTGCAGGAGCAGAGCGTGGCTCTCTGTTCAAATGTCAATACACAATATTGGATGAAACAAAAATAAACAGGTTTCTTGCAGAAGATCTGAAGATGTGTATATTAGTGTCTTCTCCCTGGGTACATGTAAATTACTAAATAAAACAAAAGGGAATAGCTTTAATGTTAATTACTCTACCAAGATCTGCAAAAATAAGATTGCCTTATGTGTTTACCCCTTAAAACAAGATTTCAAGATTAGAATTCTTTTCCACCAATAGGCCCATGGAAGGAGGTTACATGACTTTTAGCCTCAGTTTAGGCTCAGCTGTAGATTCTTCCAGTTGGGTTGCTAAAACTTTTGAAACCCTATTTGGGCCTATTTGGTGACTGTGAGTTAGACATCCTCATGGAGAAAGCAAGAAAGCTGAAAGCCAGCTCGAGTCAGGTTTCTGGGTAAGTTAACTCATCTGCTCTTTATGATTTGGGTCTAGTCCATGGACTAGAATGGTTGACGTGGTCTTATCTCTGAAGAGTTGGTCCCTATTGGAGTCTTTTGTGACAACAGCACAATAACATGGGAATTAGATCAAAGGAATGGTTGCAGCTGGTATTTTTTTTAGGATGTGTAATGGACTGAATGCTTTCATCCTCCCCAAATTCATATGTTGAAGGCCAAGCCCCCAATGTGATGATCCTTGGAGGTAGTGTTGGAAGAGGTCATGAGGGTGGGGCCTTCATATGGGATTAGTACCCTTATAAGAAGAGACACCAGAGAGCTTGCTTGCATTCTCTCTTTCTCTCTGCCATGTGAGGACACAAAAGAGAGCTCTCACCAGGAGCTGAGGTCGCTGGCACTTTGATCTTGGACTTCTCAGCCTCCAGAACGGTGAAAAAATAAATTCCTGCTGTCTAAGCTGCCCAGTCTACGGTATTTTGTTATGGCAGCCTGAGTCGACTGATACAGCATAGTTAGGTGACAGTGACAGAAACTCGAAACTGCTTTGACAATACGAAAATGTGCTGGCTCACATAGCAACAGCCAACAAGAGGGCAGGCTCTGCGACTGACTTCGACCGATGTTTCCAGCCCTGATTTCTGAGGTCGTCTTGTTTCCGCCCTCTTCTGCACCCCAGGGTCACCTTCAGCGGGGTACTAAAGTGGCCGCCATAATTCCAGGCCTTGCATCCCAGGCGGAACTATATCCACAGACGTGGAGATGGGCTTTCCTGTGGTGTCCCTCTTAACAGTAAGGACACTTCTTCCAGAAGCCCCCATCAACTTCCCTACGTAACTGATTGGTCCAAATGAGACCACATGTTTATGGCCACACCAGTTCTTCAGGCCATGTTTTGATGGGGTTAGCTGTGAGTTCCTACAGCAGGGGACCAAAGGGTCCCCTGGCAGTCAGCTTGGGCTGTTGAGAGTCCATCTCTGGAGCTAGAATCAACTCCCCAGCCACTAGATTCCACACAGCAGAGTGGGGAGTAATGAGTATTCAGGAGCTCACCAAAGTGTTTACCTCATAATCCTTCAATTCTACTTTATTAAAAGGATTTAAGAATCTAACCCAGAAAAAATTTCACATGAGCCAATATCCTGTAAACACTATCATTAAAAACCTCATCCCCAGATCCGTAAATTATTCTTTATTGCTAAGAGGATATTATATCATAATGATATCGCGAGTGAATTACCAGAATGAATGTTACAAAAGTCTTTATGCTCATCTATTGGTCGACAAGGAAAACAGGAATTTAGCAAAAAATAATATGCATGCCTTTGACAAGTTATAGTTTATTCCTTGCCAACACATTTTTCCCCCTGAAATGAACTCATTTATGAAAAGATTTTGCTGCCTTGGTTAAAAACTATCCAAGGCTTGTAATATCTAAATGTCAGAGAACAATGGGATGCATGCATCTTGATTGCTACAGTAATTTGTACCAACCAAAGGGGAAAATTACTGATGGGCCAGCTACCGCAGGTGAATAAGTCTTTGGGTGCACTGAAAACTTTCAGAGGGCTATTAGCTTCCTTCCCACTGTCATTAAGTAGACAATACTTCACTTTCTTCCTCAAATAGCCTAGAAATTAGAAAATAAAGAAAATTAGTAGACAGGCAGAGATAGGGGCACAAGCTCTACCATTTGCCAGCCTTTGACTTTAGGTGAGTTACTTAAGCACCATGGGCCTCGGTTTCTCCCTCTGTAAAATGGGAACAGTAATTTCTACTTCTAAAAGTTTTATGAAGGTAAAAGGTAATGCGCATAGCTTAGCATAGTACTTGTGACATAGTTGGTGTTTAATAAATGATTAGCTACTATTAAAATATCCAGGGCATTCCAGAGGTTACCGGATTCCTCAGGAAGAGGGCTTTTAAGTGAACCTGGACTTCTATGGATCAGTTAACTCTTAGTGGACTCCATCAAGCCAGAGACTGAGCTGGTGGTCACTCTGCGGCCACCCACGGTGACCACAAATTAGAAGTGTTTTGAGCCTGA